AACACTTTCCGCTCACTACTTTCAAAAGAAGAGCAGATCGAGGGGATCAGACCTTTTTTTAACCGATCCAAAAGAACAACCAAAAATCCACTTTTAAAGTTTGTTCCTAGACAATTATATTTCTTTTTATATGAATATAATTACTGTTACTGTCACATAGACGCGCGCCAACTTTGTAGGTGTCACAGCTCCAAAGATCCTGATGCGATTAAAAAACACATCTCTCCACTCCTGATTTCAGACAGAAGCTCACTGTGAAGATGAGCTCAGCGTGGGGATCAAACTATGGCTTCCGCTTGTGATTGTCTTTTTTATTCAACACGGGCGTAATCTGAGCCTTTATTTTCGAGGCGGTACCGGCTCGGGTGCTATTGTGGATCCCCTGCTTGACACACAGCAAACAGTTTGCATTTCACGTGCGTGCGAGCGTGCGTGTGATACCACTATCGCGTCACGACATCAGTTTAAAGGAAAGGGGGAGAGGAGACTCAAATGAGGGGCCAAATCAACACGAACTCTGTGTCCCAGTTCACACCTGTGTTAAAGGTACCATGTCAAGTCCCCGGAGAGCCCAGAGGTGTGAGCAGGCTGCAGGAGGTTCCAAAGTCTGCTCATCTAATCCATCAGATGGGTTTTCTAAACCAGCCCCAGTCAGCATGGGGTCTGGTTTATTGAATCTCAGGACCCAGTACTCTTAAGGAAATTCTAATCATCCCTGAAACACGTCACCCGCCCCCCAAAAGCCCCCCATTTAGAAAGAGATCAGCCCACTCCATGTCTGTCCTGGTGCTGGCATTCAGCCAATCACACCAGACTTTCAGACACAGCTACACACTTGACCTATTCGCATAATTGCTCAATCTGGCAGTCAGAAAGCTTGATTAACACCTTCACTTTAGACAAAAACATCACTTGCACAATCTCTGTGTGTCTCTTGTGTGTCTGTATCAACTCAGGAAATAGTGCACCACATACCCAGTTTGTTCATTCAATTCCTTTTAGTTAGTTTTAAGTCACAGTGCACGCTCAGAAATAATAATAGAACAGTCTATCTCCACACGTTACGTGAGAGTGCACGTGTGCAATGTGTTGCAGTTAAACGGCTTCATGTTACACCAACAGGAAGCTTTTGTGCTCTGGGAATATTTTGCCCACACAGCCCTCTTCTTTTTGTCAGGGACCACCCCTGAACTTTACTAAAACTCATCATTTTAAAGCTAGCTGATGTTAGAACACGCCAGGCCTCCTGACCTTATGAGCAATGTGCTAAAATATCATTAAAAGTTTGAGATGGTATCAGGAAATCCCATTAGACCCTATAGAAACGAACAGGGGATATTTCAGTGTGAAATGTTTTACCATGTAATTTGGTGCACAAATCTAATAAAGTATGCTTTTATTTGTCATGCATTTGGAATTTTAAATATTCTTCTTTTGAAGCTGGAAAACTGGATTACATTTGTTATCATTCAAGCAAACTTTTACAGGCTAAGCACTGGTGGTAAAAGGATGAAGATAATTAAGTTCTCGGAAATGCCACCCACATAGAGAAGCGATGATTCATAATGCCTTCCAGATGTTTCTTTTAAGCTGTAATGGAGTGACACGTGGGGCATGTGAAAACAAGCAGGTCGAACATTTCAATTTCAGGAATTACTGATAACATTTCCCTCCATTATGTCTGACTATGGCTGTAGTCTGGGGAAATTAAGGTATACAAATGTAACATTTCTTACAGGGGGCTGTTTTTGTCAGCCTACCAATCAAATAAGGCATTAGGCTGTTATGCAGATTACAGGGATAGCCAGTCTTCTTCTTACCCGCCTATAATTAGAGGATAATGATTTCCTTTTTGCTGCAGGGCAGGATATTGTCTTCCCCATGAAGCAACAGGAAGTGCCACATGGTTGCAGGCTTTTTGTGGCACTGCTTTGCTGCTTTACAGTTTCAGAAAGGGTCCAAGAATTCAGTAAATATTGGTGCTAAAGCCAAGGAGAATGATGAAAATGCATCTCAGCTTGTTTCTACATTCTCCAGCGTATCTGCCACTGAACCTGCAGCTCTGCCTCTCAGTCACTGCTCGACTGCTGAATAAAAAATAGTGTCATGCGTTGACTGAAGCAATTTTGCTTGCGCAAACAGTCTGGCTCAACAGGACTGACGTCAGCATATTCATTTAATTCATTGCTTCGACGTAAAAGTGTAAAGATGGAACCATTTTATGATGCCAAATTGATCATTTGTATCTATCAGCTGTTCTATCCATTTAGGCTATCAGGTACTTGTATTACTGTATATTCAATCAATCATGGAACACATTGCACTGCTTCCATACAAGGACCAACATGTTAGTTAACAACAGTGGTCTCTCAAAGGTTAATAAGGCTCCAACTAATTGTGTGAAAATACCATCTAGTGGACAGACCTCATTTACACAGAAATCATGGGAGAATTTCAGACAGCTGCTAAATTGTGCCCCCTGGAGGTCACCTGGATTTAATTTGTACCGGATTCCTCGTGGATTATGAGTCCACAGTATACATATATTCTTTTTTTCTCTATATATTTATAGGGTCCAAAAAGGAGATGTGTCATGAAATTCATTGTGTCGGCTTTGTTTATTGCAGAGTAGCTGCAAGACAATCCGGTTTGGTTTCAGATCAAAGCCACCTGTGATGGTATTTCATGAGAGAATCAGCAGTCAGTTGCATGTAAATATTGCATATTTGTGGAAAAAGAGTTTTTATTGAACTGCGGGTCAGAGATCAGTGCACCTTCCAACCTCTAAAAAGACAAACTACTTCGGAGATGTCACCTGCACAAGTCCATGTGATGCTTTATTCATGAACCTAGGACACATATCTATATATAAAACACTGTATATAAATACTCTATATATTCTACTTCCTTCTGTAATCTCAATAAAAAATATTTATAAAGCCACATGATTATATTTAACAGGCTGTACAAAAATAAATAAAACGAGGATATTCTGTACAAAAGGAAAAAAAGAGAACACATGAAAAAAGCCTTCGCAGAAGGCAGGAGAGACTTACTTATGAAGTAGTAGCAGGAGACAAGTCCCTCATTAGGTCTCCGCGCACACACAAACACGCACGCACATTCACACACACGATCCTCTTTGGTCTTTGAAGAGTTCCCTCAATAAAGGCTGTGTTGATGAGGGCAAGATATGGCTAAAAAAACAAAGAATTGAGGCATTTTGAGAAACTGGTTGATACAATGTGCCGCTGGCAGAACAAAACAAAAAAAACCCAAACCCCCCAAATAACAAAGAAGAAGTGCTTAAAGTTTATGATAAATAAGTGTGGACTGAAGTTTGAACATAAACACTGTGAGCTTTCGTATTTTCCATACCTGATGGGGTGAGCAAATAGACTGTGAGCTACTCTCTTGTTTCTTTATATACTCTGCAGTAACCTCCCCCACTTTAAATCTTACAGGTGTGTCCAGCCCAGCTTGGACAAACAAACACATGCATAAAAATTTGACACACATTAAAATAGTCTCAGTCTCACAAACAAGTATGACATTAGCATGGTAAGCAGCATGGTCTTTTAGGGGAATCTGGAATGATTCCCCTTCCTGTAAGGTCAGATGTGCCACTGCTGACCGGTGTAAAGCTGGACCCGGGCCCTCTGCTGCTCCCGCAGGGGACCCGGGATGGATGGAAGGAATGAGTAAAAGATTGGAAGTGACAGTCATGGTGGACTCATCTGAAGCTCTCCAGCTCGAGACGTAAACATTACTGGCCTCTTTAGAGTGTCTGCATGGACGTGGAGCAGTGCGGGTCAGAGCTGTGGTCTGAGCGCTGGGACGAGCGGAGGTCCGGCTCGGGATGCAGTCCTTAGCAGGCGCTCTGATTGCACAGTTCCAGCAGAGGTCGTGGCCGGTCTTTGGGGTCACAGCTGTCGTGGGTTAACGTGCGGCCGTCCGACCCGACGCAGCGCAGTTGACGCTTGCGGAAGCCCCGGCCACAGGTTTTAGAGCACAGCGACCATTCCCCCAGAAGCCAGGAGGGGCAGGGCTGGGAGGAGCAGGACCGTGAGGCCAAAGGGCGGAGTTCCTCAGGGCAGTCTTTGGACACGCGTGCTTGGGGGTCCAGGCATAAAACCTCTCTTTGTTGCGTTCCTCCACCACAGGTCTGGGAACATGGACCCCACTCCCTCAGGGTCCACTCAGCCCCTCCCACCTCCCGGATGGCATTGATTGACTGGCGGCGGCCTCCATTGTTGTCGGAGGCGGAGGCAGTGTTGGCGGGCCGCGGGGTAAAGTAGCTGTATTTCACTCGGGGCCGCGGAGCCTCCCCCACGGACAGCACCTGGATGGTGAGGGGCTCGGGGAGAGGAGCGAAGCTGCGGAGGCGCTCCAGGGTGGCGGAGGAGCCGCTGTACCTCAGCAGCGCTCCCCTCAGAGCGATATCGGTCTCAATGGTCATCAGTTTATAATCGCCATTCAACAGATATGTTCCGTCCTGACGACGCACGGCCAAGTAACTATTGTCGTGGCGACTGTTGCCCGGGGCCCGTTGTTTGATGTCCAGGTGGGTGGAACCGGCAGGGATAGTTACAACGTCCTGATAACCCGGCCTGAAATAAAGAAAACAGGCAAACTCAGATATAAAATCCTTTGGACGTGCATGGATTCAAGCTCCGACGGAAAGAGCTCACGGCTCTTTGGCTGGTTTCATATTTACCTAGCGCGTTCCAGAGAGCCCGACACTTTCTTACAGGTGGATCCGTCTCCACCACAGACTCCGCACTTATCGAAGCGCATGTTGGAGCCGATGACGCGGTCGCAGCCAGCCTTGACGCACTGGCCCTGAACACAAACCGAGGTAGAGTCCGGGCTGCAGGGAGTCCCGTCAGCCACCTGGGATCAGCAAAGACACCAAATTGTAACTTCAGAGTTTCGGTTTGTAAAATCGTTACGTAAGAGTCTTCAGTCAAGAGGTGCAAATCTTTTCCGCCGCCTCAAGGTAAGGACACATTTTGATCCCTCAACAGCATGTCTACACAGGTTTGAGGACTGTTAGGAGGTTAAGTAAGACCCTGGAAAGGTTTCATCCTGAGGCACAGAAGTAACAATTTAGCAGCATTTATATTCACCTTGGATTTGAGGACAAAGAAGTAGCCGGTGCCTTTGGCCCGGCACACCAGTTTGCAGCGGTCTTTGGGTGAAACGCCAGCATACTTGGGCACCCACTCGACACCCTCGCCCGAACCCAGTGAAACCTGAGCTGACATGTCATTGTGAGCCAGACACTGCTCCTCACGGAATGACAGGCCTGAGGAAGTAAAGGGGGGGGGGGGGTTAGATCTACTGCCAGGACAAGACTTCAGTACATCTAACCACAACAAAAGATGCTAAACTGCAACACTTTAAAAAAGAGATGCATAGCATTTAGGAAATACTTCTAGGAGGTGACAGAAATCTCTTACCGTTGGTATCAGGACAGGCTTCTGTGTTGCAGGAACGGTACTGGATCCTTTTGCCCTCACAGTACTTGCCTCCATTCTTTGGTAAAGGACTGTCACACGAACGGAAGGAGTACTGAACTCCTCCACCGCAAGTCCTGGAGCAGTCCCCCCAGGGACCCCAAACTCCCCAACCACCATTAACGGGAATCTGGAAACAGCAGAGGAAAACACATGAGCAAAACGCTAAACTGCTCTAAGAACTGGGAAAGCTGAGTGGGTTGGAGTGGGAAAACACGGAGCATCGCTCCCTACCTGGTGTTTGGCGGCTTGACTCTTTGTGAGGCACTGTCCCGCTAGGCAGTAGCTCTCCAGCCCGCACGACGTCCCATCAGCCCAGGGGAAGTTCTTGGTCTGGCAAACCAGCAAACCGTTGGCTGTGGTCACGGTGCACCAGAGAGCCGCGCACATGGTGCTGAGGTCTGGACAATGCTGGGAGTCCTCGCCAAACGTCAGCCGACACTGATGGTCCGCGTCGTACACCGTCCCTGGCAGCGGCTCGGGGAGGGGCTGGGGCTTGGCCGGCTTATCCAGCAGACACTGACCATGACCGTTGTCCAGGAAGCTGGTGATCATAAGGGCCGAGCAGGGAGACCACGGCTGCTGCTGGTCCAGGTTGGACAGGGTGGACGCCATCATGTGGGAGCCCCAGTGTGCACCGTTGACCCCAGAACACAGTTGGGCGTCATCATGAGGCATGTTGAAGACGTGGCCTGGAGAGCACGTAGAAAATCAACCAAAATTCTTTCAACACCTCCTCTGTCAGCGCGCACAGAGTTTCAAACATGTTTCAATTCTTCCTAACTCTCTTACCCAGTTCGTGTGCCACGGTGAATGCCGCCTGCAGTCCGTCATCCTCAATAATGGAGCAGCTTCGGTCCGGGTCACACACCGTGCCAACATCCGCCATGCCCAAAGTGTCACAGGAGTGTGCTCCACACAGGTCCTGATGAGAGGAACGGGGAGCCCGATCAATATCATCCCTCTCCAGTTTTTACACAGGACTTGGAGCAAACCTTACCTTCCTGGTGAAGAGCACGGCCGTGTCGTAGTGCTCTGCGTGGCGGTCACTTGGGGGGTTGTGCTGGCGCTGCCACTGACAGAAGTTGCGGAGGGTCATGGCGGCGTTGGATGAGACCTGAGGGCCCCGCTCCTCCTCGTACACCACCAGCAGCTTCACCACAGCCAGGTTGATGGAGTTGTGAATGCTGGGGTGGCGGTAGAGGCGGGAGGCCACAGCCATGATGGTCAGAAGGTAAGATTTAAGCCCTGCGCCGTGGAACTCAGCCATGGACTGGTCGGCCACCACCATGATCTCCAGGTAGCGGGGAGTGGACACGAAGCGCCTGGTCCTGTGGTGGCCTGGACAGACAGACACACAGGTCAGACCACGCTGGACACACAAAGTCCAGAGGCTGAGAACTGCACTGGAACCTTAAACCTTTTTGGGTAACAGTTGAGATCATAAAGATCATGAACCACTGTTCAATTACTCTTTCTTTTTTCAGTTAAAAACAGAGAGCTCCAGAGGACTTAGCCTCACGTCACCGGCTGCCCCTCCCTCTCAAAGCCCGCATTCTCAAACATGACCTTTTCGGGTGGAAAAACTATGCGAGAGGGAGAGAGAGAGGGAGAAAATCCTTTCTAGGGAATCAACTCGGTGCGAGTTGTACCAGGTGGCGCGTTTATACGACTTGGCTCTGCCGGGCTCTGGCGGTCCCCAACCCCTCTACTCCCCTCCCCTTCTCTTCTAACGTTACTCCTCCTCTTTCCTATCTCTTTTCCTCCCCTGCCTTTTCTCCCTGACAGCCCTGTCAAAAGTTGGTCAATCCATTGCGCATGCTGCGTAACACTGGCTACACTAAATAAAGTCTGTTAACAATGTTTTTAGGGTTTTTTAGCCACACAATTTATTACGTGATTTGGCATGACATGGTGTATGCTACTGTCCCTGTTCTGTTCATTCTCACTAAGATAAAGTTGAGTGATCGGGTGTAAAATGCGCTCAGCATTACCTGTCTGCTCTGCGTTAGGCGCTCCCTGGCTGCCTTCTTTCTCCAGATTCTTTGGCACCCTCTCTTCGTCCTCGTTGACCCCACACTTGGAGCTGCCCTTATCAAGCCAAGTTGCGATGTGTCTCCGGCGAATCCTGTGCAGGTCTCCGTCCTTGTCCAGGGGTTGAATCACGTACTCTTTGCCGTTAAAAGCAATTGCGCCACTCATTCCATTGCAGAGGTTGAGCGACACGACTGAGAGGATGTCTCTGTTCACCGTGCCCGAAAAGAAACACTCGCTCTCTGGTGCCGACGTCGGCTCGGACTCAGGAGTGTCCAGGATTTGGAAGACGAACCCCGGAGCCACGAAGCTGTTGTCTGGCTCTACTCGCAAAAATAACTGCTCTTCGAATACGTCCAACCGGTACAACCTCACGGCCGTTTCCTCCTTCTCCTCCGGGTTTAATCTGACCGGCACCACGGTGCTCTCCTCCCAGGCGCTCTGCTCTGCACCGACGCACCCAGCGGCTATGAAACCAATGGAAACGAGCAAAAACCACATTATGCAACCGTAATATCCGAGTCTGGAGAAATGTGAACTGAGAATAAAGTCTTTATAATGAAGCAAGTAAATCCTTGAAGTGTTTCTCCACTATGAGGTACGAAACCAAAAGTACTGGAACTTCCAGAAAACTGTCTCCAAAATTACGCACACGATTTTAAATCTAGAAAAATGGATCAAATCCAGTGCAAAAGTCTTTGAACTATGAGCAGATCTGATAAGTTGCTGATAAGTCTTCTTATTTAACGAAAAATAAAAGCTGGATCTCAGCAGTAATTCCCAACAGGTTTCCCTCTGTTTCTCTCCCAAGTCTCAAATTCTCAGTTTCTGGCTCTTGCTTTAGAGTTTAGGAGCAGGTCTTTTACTCTGCTGAACCGTTCCGTCTGTTCTCCGCTCATTCCTTGCAGTCAGGTCAGAGCCGGTCCCTCCTATATATCCCCCTGCCCCAGGACCACCCCTTTCCTGAGGGCTCTTTGATCTGAGAGGGGCCAAATCCCGTGCGCAACGAAAACGCACCAACGACCTGGAGCGTTGCCATAATAATCAATCATGCTGGATGATATAGAGCTTTGGGCATGGATTTTTTTCCCTCTCCGCTTCACATACATGGAAACTATAGCGTAGTTTTTTTAAAGGATATCTATAATTTCAAATGATGGATAACCTAACTTGAAAAATAGAAAACCAACACGGTTCATTACAAATTGTTCTAATTTATTAATGTTAGGGGCATCGTATTAATTCAATCTGAAGTTAATTCAGTCTAAAACGATGTGACCAGCAGTGAGGCTGATAAATTGTTCAGGGGAAGGTTGGGAATGCATAGAACTTGGCAGGGGCTCCAGGAACCGTATTCACCTACCGTGTGCCAGGCCGACTGTGGTGCGCCGTGGCCGGGTTCCGCTACTCTTCTCCGGAGGGAGAGGGGAGCTGAAAGGGGCCGCTGAGGTCTTAAGGTGGAACGACCCATCTATTGGAGAGCCTGTGCGCTGCGCTCAAGGCAGCCGAGAGCCCCCGTCCTCCGGGTTTCTTCCCCCGCCCGCACCTTCTGCTCTTCCTGTCAGAAAGAAGGAAGAGTCCATGCTTAAGTTTCATTAAAATAACCGGCAAAGCAGAGATACTGCTGATGTAGACTCTGCTGCTGCAAAAAGAAAACACACACAGGGGAGGAATCAAATAATAGGGGTAAAAACCTGTTCAGTGCTCAGACTTTTACGCACACTCCAGTTGCTCCAGAAGCTCGAAATCCCTTGAATGTAGTCACTGAAAACTTCCACAAAACCAGAAATATATCAGATATGTACCAACCAGAAATAAGAGGATGGCTTTATTGGATCAATTTAGCTTATTTTTTAAGCAACAGAAGCAAACATTTTTCATCAGGGCACAAAGATCACTGAAGTCTACCTTAAAACACAATCTGAGAAAAGGGGAAAGTGTGTAACTTCTTCACTCCCCAGTAGATGGCAGGCGTCTACAGAGGAACACAAAGGATTTTCCATGATAATTTACAGTTTTTGCATACAGATGGCGCCCCAGTGTAACTTTAAAAGTTCAGTTCACGAGTGGTTGACCACATGGAGGCAGTGTGCGCGCGTCCAGTGAAGTGAGTGTCCTGCATGCAGGCTGGTGCTGATCAGGGATCACAGTCACCGGAAGTTGAAGTTCCTAGTGTGCTTTTACATCTCCAGTGAAGAGGGAAGAAGAAGGGTCTTGTCTACTATCCTCTTTCTGCTCAGAAACAAACTTGTGACTGATATGGATCTTTTCAATGATCCAGCAAAGATATTTTTGACTTTACTCAATAATTGTACAGTACCCAGCTGAAAAACTGTTTCCTGGGAAGTGTTTTTCCTATTTGTTTTGCTGACCTCAGAGCTCTGTGGCATCTCTTCAAGGCTTCAAATGTTCATGTTCTGTGCAGTAAGTGAGCACAGGTCATCATCCTAATGCCGATTTAGGGGGATAGTCTGAATT